CTGGGCCAGAAGGACTTTGGCACTACCCATCGGCCGCTTAGTAGTTCCTTTTTTGGGATTACCCTCGTAGGATTCTAAGTATGAACCCCAAGAAGGAACTACTATGGGGCCTATGGGTAGGCACTAGGACCTAAACCCTAAACCCTAACTGACCTAGGCTGCCAGAACTATGCCAGGCCTAAGCACAGCTGAGTTGTCCTTTAAGCCCTTTGTAAACTATTTACTATTATGGTTCTCTACTACCACATGGTAGCCAAAGAACAACCCAGACAGTATTGGAGTTGCATTTGTTTCTCGGCTGTGCGCTGCGAAGAGGAGGCTCCAAAATCCCACAAGTCAAGCTGTAGAACGGCAAGAGTGTTTGCCTAGACCTACAGTAAACACCATAAAGTTGGAACCCGGATTAAGGCCAAATAGTGCTGGGATTTCCTATACATTCCTCTTAAGGATTGAAGCTATTGGGTTTCCAACTTTTGGGCTTCTACTGTAAGAGTAACCTAGGAAAAAAAAGGGTGCCCTTTTTGGTTTAAAGGGGGTTATAAGGGAACCTGAACCCTAAAAAAGGGAAGAAGCGCCTACTCTGGGTCCTGGAGTGTTTTCCCTGATTACGAAACTTTGGGCCTTTATTATAGGGTTCCTTTTAATCAGGTTCCTACATCAATTAACAACCAATTCCAACGGAGCGCCCCGCAACAAACCCAACAATACCTATAGGGTCATACCCTACCCCTTTTTCAAGGTACCTACTTTTCTATATAAGAGAACCTAACCACAAAACTAGGTATCCAAAGAAAGGGGTAGGGCATGACCCTCTAGGTAGAGGACACTACAGTATAAGGCTGGTCAGTGAATGCCGTGCCCTACGGATCCGGGCCGAGAATACGGTAGTAGAAAGCGTGAAGGTGGTCTATCGAAGCAACGAACAAATAGCTTCAATGAGGGTGTACAGTAGAAGCCAAAAAGTTGGAAACCCAATAGCCTCAATCCTTAAGAGAGATGTATAGGGAATCCTAGCACTACCCGGCCTTAATCCGGGTTCCAACTTTATGGAGTTTACTGTAGGGGCTCGAGGTTAAGTAAGATTTAGGATACGAAGCCTTCTCCCTGCATCCAGACTTTCGTTGTCCGGTTGTTCTAGGTTGGCCCTTTAAAGCGTCTGAAACATGTTCGTACTAGGGTCCTATTAAGCCAAAAAAATATAAAATCTCCCAAAGGCCTACCTAGTGTTGGTTTTGCGAGAAAGGCAGGTGCTTGGATTCAGGAACAGAGAGAGGGCTGCGATTCGGGGTGGTTCATGGGATTTGGGGTTCCCGGCGGGTTGCCTAAAACCCAGAGCCCAATAAGGCACTGGATGTAGTCCAGCCTAAGATCGAGTTTAAGAAGAGCCTGTGCTTGCCAGGTCATCAGAAACTTCATCTGGACAATTGCACACCTTTTCGATCGCTGCCAAAACGGATACATGGACACAGAATTGAAATCAAGTGCGGCCAGAGTCTGAACTTTACGATAGTAAGCCTACCCAACCCTTAGCTGATGAGTTCACAAGCCCCAAAAAGTGTGCACTTTCAGTTTCAGTTTTATAGTGGGTATTATTATCCCAAAGTGTAAAGTGTGTCCACTGAGCTACTAAGAACCTAGCTCAACAACCCAAGCAAGGATGCAGCTGAAGTCCGACTGCAGTACACCCCGGCAGCCACAAGATCTTTAACAAAAGTGCAGACCTGCAGCTGTGAAACTACGAAGGGCCGGTGACGGGCGCGGGCTGGAGGTGAGCTAGTTTGGTACACCTTGCATGCTGTCTGGGTCGGGTTAGCTGTGCTTCATTGGTTTCACGACTGCACGTCCGGCAAAAAATCAATACAACCTTGTGTTAGGTGTCGAAATGTGCGAATATCGTGCCAAGACACGAGAAAGAGAAAGACATCCGCATTTGGCATTGGTCGATTGCTGTACTTGGAGCTGTAAGTGCATGCAAGAACAGCTCGCACCATATTCGCACAAACAAAGATGCACATTGTGCAAATGCCGTCTTCAACAATGGAAGATGCCACAGTAAGGGAATACCATCAACACGCAATTTGCGCGAGAATTCTTCCTGAAGGATCGCTGCCACCATAAAGGTCCCAAAGATGTGATAACGGAATGCTGTATGACACAACACCTTTTGTTCCAGGTGTAAAAATGCCTCCAAAGCCTCTACCCACCCAAGAATGCTGCATGAATTTCAGTAGCCAGGGACATGTCAGGAATTCATTGTGTGATTGGTGGAGTTTCTGGGTACCTCAACCCGAAATTCCTTCAAGCAATGCTCAGCCCACAATCCTGAAGCCTAAACCAAATCTAACATCCTGATCCCTGAACCCCACGTGTGGTACTCACTCAAAGCCTGATATCTCTAGTGAGCTGGCAGGGCCCACTTGGTAGTGCATCTGAAGCATCCGTTTGAACTTTAGGGCTTGGAGGGTGCAATGTGGTGAACGGCTTCGGGCATGTATTGGGCTGAATGTAACAATGAGGGCTTCTGCCCAAAACCCGAACCGCAGCAATCCGATAATTCTTCCCGCGTTGCAGGGCTCGAGATGTGTGCGAGGCCGAATGCAGGAGAACGATTTTCATTGATGAGTTAGCCGCATGTTCAAGGGGGAGGGGGCGGAGAGCCCAAACACCAACTCGGCACCGGAATTATGAACCCGACAAGTTGCATTCGAGCTGCCTCTCCGGAACTTCAGTTATAGGCCGGAAAGAACCAAACAATAGCATCTGTTAGAAGCTGCACCCCACCCTGTAATAGTGACTATCAGGATTGTATTAGGGACCTATAATATTCCTATTATACCACTATTACAGGGTGGGGGCCCCCTTCTAAAGCATCTGCCAAAGCCGGAGAGCAGTAGTCTCAGCAGAGACTTGACATGGCAGGGTACAGTAGCCTGCGAAATCTACGAAGCTGGCTAATCCACTAGCACAACAGCAGAAGGCAAGACGGCATGACAGTAGTATACTGAAAAGCAACTATGTCAAAATTCACTCATGACGGTGGTAGGCATGCATGTATGTATGTATGTGTTTATGTATATACATACATATATATATATATATATATATATATACATATGTACAATTACACATGTGTTGTCTATGTAATGCCACATGTCCATGGTTATACAGGCCAGCACGGGGGAAAATCTCATAGCGAGCCTGCAAAAACATTCGTCGACTCCGCAGTACTATTAACAAGCCCAGAGGCACGGGTACATGCTGCTTCGCAGATGGCAGGAAGTCAAGAAGGACCTTCTGCCCGTGTTAAGCCGGGCTTGTGCACATCATTTCCATCAAGAAGAAGCACAAACAAGTGCCGTCTGGGGTCCTCGCGACAACTTTGCACCTCATCCTGCGCCCTCCGGGCGACAGATCTGGATGATGCAATGACGAAACAAGTATAACTAAAGGAAGGAGATCGGTTCAATGCAGCAGGCAAGCTAGCGAAATCCTTCCTCTGTCCTCGGATTGTGCCAGCAAGTTTGGGTCAAGGGCTTGGGGACAGCAAAATCTGGTCTCGCAACAACAGGGAACGTCTCTGACACCGGATGGCTCGCGGCTCCAGAAAAGGGAGGTCCTAGCCGGCTCCACAGCTTCCCAGGAAGTTGGGCAGCATGCGAAGTCCAAGCACTTTTTTACCTTCACCTCTTGCGTCATGGGTCCGTCTTTCGGGTTTAGGGCTTAATGTTTTAGGGTTTAGGGGAAGCTTCTGTTCAACATCTGTTTCAGGCTGCATGTGCTTTCGCCTTTGTCATGCTGCTTTGCAGCTTGAACCCATACCTAAAAGAGTCAACTCAACACCCTAAACCCAAACGCCTAAACCCTAAACCCAAACGCCCGAAACCCCAATTTCTGGGTCCACTTGGTGTCTGCGGAGGGGCTTCAGACTACTGAGGCCCCAATTTGTGATAGGAGCGACTGTTTAGGGATTATCATAGGCATCAGGCCAGTTGGGCTCAGGATGTTAAGGGTTTCGGACTCTTAGAGCTTATCTCATCGTTTCAGGCTAATAGCTGCAGGGCTCAGGAAGTTATATTATAGAGTTACCCTTGTTCCAACTGGACTATAGTTACCCTAAACCCTAAACCCTTAACCCTAAAGGGAAGTGTAATTAGCTGCCTTCGGTCTTCATGTTTGGAGTTTAGGGATTCTTAGGGTCGCAGTGTTCTGGGACCCATGACTCTTCCAGGAGCCTGTAAAAACATCGCGCCAGCGGATGCCGTAGACTGCCCTGCTGCCTCGTGACGGGATGTGGTTTCGGGATGTTTCGGGGCTCTGGCTGAGCCCTACCAGCGGCCCCAAAAACCTACCTGACCTACCTTCTTAAGGATCCCGAAACCATAACAACGAATCCCCCAAAAGGTGTTTTTTTGGGCTGGCTACATGCCCCTGAAACACACACACACACACTCACTCACTCACTCACTCAAACACTCACTCAAACACTCACTCGCTCGTCGCCCGCCCAACCCACCCAGACGTCCACCGTTGCCACGCCGGGCTGGGAAAAGGGGGAACATACCTATTTCTGATACCACCTTGCCTGCTGTCGGTGAATCTTTCGATGTCTTGCCCCGCGCAGACTCACAAATCCGACCAGTTCCCCCATAGTTGAAAACACACAAACAAGCAAACAAAAAGCCTGCTCCGCAACAAAAGTGGTTGAGCCCACCTCGCATGTCGCTGCCCGTCTTGGGGCTTCAACCCCTTCCGGATTGATTCGGCCTAAGCTAGGGTTAATATTCACAAGCTCCATGCCGCATCTTCGCCACGCGCGAATCATGTTCATCCAAAATATGCTGATCAAGACACCCAGATCCCCATCCTCAAACCCTGGATACTAAGCTCCGCGCCCCTCCCCGCACTCACACCTGAATCCTAGAACCATCAACCGCCGAAGCCCTTAAGCTAAAGCACAACCTTGTAACCCGGCACGCATTCTCTCGCCTGCGATGCCCTTCTTACGCCATCTTCAGGCACCTGCAAGCCAAGTCTTGGGCCTTTTCTCCGTTTCTTGAGTGGTTTGGCCCTAGGAGGCCCTCAGATAATGGAGTTGGAACCTCAGGGATCGGGTCTAGACATCAGGACATGTTTGCCTTGACGTTCTGCTCATATTTTCTCAAGTTTGGGAGGCGAGCTTTCATCCCCAAGCCTGTCAAAGGACCTTGTCCACATGCACACAAGCCCACGCTGCAGTCTTCCCTCGCCTCTGCATTCGGAAGTTGAAGGATGGACAGTTTTCAGCATGGTCACAAGTCACCTACTTGGGCTAAGCCCCCATTCTCACTGCCTCTCCTTCTTTCATTCAGGTTCAAACAACTTAAAACAACTTGGCGACAAGTATTTGTGGGCCTTCACATACGATAATTCAGACGGCTCAGGCTCATAAGTTCTTTGTCGGCTTCACCCTAGGTTCCGTGTGGCAGGGTCCAGCACACAGCTTAAACTGCCCTACGCTCCAAACCTAAGCCCTAAATCCTAAGCCAGACAAACAACTACTCGAGGCCTTAGCCAATGGTATCCAGAGATACAAGAAGTGAAAACCACGGATGTCTTTCTATGTCCTTAAAACAAGTTGGGCACCAACAAGAAGTTCACGCCTGCCTCTGTTTCCAAAGTGGCAACATTCCTAAACTTTTCTATCGCCTATACGCCCGCCTCACCGCCGCCAAAGCGGATCCATGAGCCAGGACCGTCGAATCTGGTTGGGGTTTAGAGGAAGCTTTAGGGCTATGCGGGTCACTACAGCAAGAAGGGGGGTGTAGGGTTGCGATCATGTTTCTGTACTGTGAAAGAGTTTGACTCGCGAAAAGCCGTCGACTTACAACACTTACGAGGGTTTAATGTCTGGTGATGTAGGGGATAGCCGGGCCTTGGGTTTGTCCGCGATACTCATTACAAGGAACCTGTTGACGTGGCATTACTAGTGATTCTGACAGATATGCTATGTTTCAGGGTCTCATAATCGAGGAGAAGATGTGTCGATATATGTATATATATATACATATGAATGATATGCATATGAAAAACATACCTCATAAGAAAAGGAACATGTATGCATGCGTATATAATGTGTGATCGATGTATATACATTATATGGTAATGGGGGGGGTCCTTCTTCAACGACAAGCCGTTCGTATCTCGATCTTGTGCGACCTGCCTAGATGACGATTCTACATTTACATTTACTTTGCAAGCACGCGCCCCTCTGTGTCCCTCTGCCTTCCGTCTCGGCGTTCACGCTTTTTCACTCTAAATTCTCTCTACTTCCTCTCAAACCGAAACACACAGATCACAAAACCATCACACAAAAGCTCTAAGCTGGAAACCCGCAAGCCAGAAATCCGTCACAGTGGGACGCTCTGCGGCAAGTGCAAGGCCACCCCCTCACAAGCCTAGCAAGAAAAAACATCAGCAAGCGACGCGCGATCTGGCTACAGAAAGGCACACACAATCACACACAGATGGGTTGGAGAGCTGCTTATCTTCTCCTGGAGCAAGCAGGCACCAGCAAAACCAAACCTCAATAAGCACAAAGTCCTCAGCCCCAGTGCCCCGGTGCCTGGCACGTCGTCTGCCGTTGTGGATATTGATTCGTTGGAGTCCTGCAAATGCAGTTCTTATCCGTGATCCTACCTGGCAGTACCTCCATCTCTGAGAATGCTTCTGCTTCGCCCTCTGGTTGCGGTGCAGTTCTGATGAGCATAAGCTCCCAACACCACCACAATCCGTCTAAAAGGCTAACGATTTGAACCCGAACCTTCAGGGCACCGAGGGCTTGGGGAATAGTTGCACAAACTTGGACTGGCGCGTCGGGCCATGCCCTGACATGCCATTCTCAGCAGAACTTCATACGCAATAGGGCAACCCCCTATCTGAGGTCCCGCAAAAGCGTCCAAGATCACGTCAGAACTTGAATCACACCAAAGACATGGACAACACACATGGTGTGCCTGCAAATGTGTCAAACGAAATACATACAGTATATACGGCACGCACAATGCTCACTGTCACCTGTTGATAAGGCAGCCATGCTGAAGCCACATCAGCTCAACAACCCTCATTCAGTCTGGAGCCTTGCTGTAGCTCTTCTTAAAGAGCTTGCGCGATGCGTTCGGCGGCGGCTGAACGACTTCTTCCTGCATGGCAGTATGTCACGTGCCTGCATGCTGTGTATGTTGCTGCAGAGAGCATGGACGTGTGTTGGCGCTATACTGCCACATATCGACTGCTCAGAAGGCTTACTCAACCAGGAAGAGCGGAGCCCAAAAAAGATTGGCAATATCACATCCCTAAACCACAACGTTAACTCCCGGGCCAGAGTAAGGGTCTCTCTTCCAAACCGGACCCATGCCCACAACTACCACCATCATGCACAGCCCGGCCCGAAACCCAGAAGGACCTGAACCTCCGTGACCCGATCCCCAAACCGGAAAAACCAGGTGCTCCTAGACATCTTGCCTGGGATGAGTAGCAAGTTGTCTGTAAGCAGGGCAAGTGTTACATTGGTTATAAAGATACCTTCAAAGTCAAAAGAAACCCGGCTTCTCTCTAAGATTTAATAAAGGGGCCTTCATAGTTAGAATAGGGTTGTGGGGCCCATTGCACTATAATTACGTGTCATAAGGAACCCCCCAAATTTGTATAGGTAATTCTTTAGGCCCCTATACCATAGCACCCTACTATATCCCACAATATCCCTTATAGACCCCTTTAAGCCTTTAAGGAACCCCCAAAATAGAAAAGGTAATTTTTTAGGCCCCTGTATTAGCCACCTCGTCGCTGCTGATGTCATCCAGGCCCGTGTCAGATTCTGTATCCACCTCGCCAGCTTCCAGGCGGCGCCTCCGGTTTAGCAAACCAAAGCGGAAGGTCAGTCTTAAGCCTTACACCGTGAATACTATAGGGGCTTCAATAAGTAGAATAGTGTTTGGGGGTATATTATACTGTGGGTTTTTTGTTAAAGGTTTTAGTTCAAGGTATAAGAGTACTAGAATGTTACTAGAAGGGTTCGAAGGTCTTTGTTCAGGGATTAACTTTAAGTTACCACAATACGGATCTATAGTACATGAGATGGTTTCCCGATTATGGTAACTTTAATAGGGATCTATAGTGACTAGTTATGGTTTCCTTAGTAAGGCAACTTACATTTACGTCTTTTAGCAAGAACCCAGGCTTCCGGGCTTCGGTTTCGGCCTTCGCACTTGAGGCTTGTTGCGTACTGTGAACATCTGTGAATAAAGTCCAGTCTCAACTGAAGATGGTTCCTTTAAAGGGATCCTTGACGGGTTCCTTATAAGCGTTCTATAAAGGTTTTAGGGGCTTTAGGGCTTAAGGGATCGAGTCATGGGCATTCGTGCTTCAAACGGATTCTTTCGAACGTTAGGGTTCGTGTGTGGGGCCATTGGTTTAAGATGTGGGGTTGACTATTCAGGATTTCACTCGGACTTGCCAGACGAGGTCTCTTCAGGGTTTGGGGTTCGATTTCCCGCAACAGAGCAATGCTAGTCGAGAAGTGGCATAACCATTTCTCGCAACAAGCTATATTCAAAACATTGTTTTGAGTAGTCAACTTAAACCTAAACACTAAAGCCTTCCCCTAAACACCTCAAACCCATCTCCACTTGCTCGTCTGATCACCATAGGCGAATTTTCAAACATCGAAGTGCATACAGGTGGCTTCTGCTCCTCCTCGCGCAAGCGAATGGCCTGGTCAAGGCTCTGAGACTTCGGCTTTGGGGATCTAGGGTTGCCGGGTTTGTCTTGAGGATTTAGAGCTGCCTGCATCCATTACATTACATGAGTGCGCCTCCCGGAATATGCGCCGAGGAATGACAGCCTCGCTATAGATTAAGTTCGAGTTTTTCAGCTGCGAAGTTGCTACTATAGATGCAATTCCACGTGCAGGCCCCAGAAACGCAGCAGTCAAGACAGTGTCCCCAATCACTAAAGCAAGCCGTGCCTCACGAATCTGCCTCTGCCTCTCTTCCTCTTCACGTGCTTTCTGTTGCCTCTTCTTCTCCTGCTTGATAGAGGCTCTTGGGGCCACGCTTCGGGCCACCGGGTAAGAGAATCTGCTTGCATAAGCTTCGGAGAATTCCAGAGATGAAGAGAGCTTGCTGATGGCGGAGCGAAGGGTTGCTGGCTGAGCCTAAACCCAGTCACCTGTCCGTCTGGAATGTTGCTAAAACACAACTAGCGTTTAGGAGTTTAGGGGTTAGATCATAGAGAACCGAAATTACTGCCCATAAAGCCCCACCACCCTGGTCCAATAGCATAGAAAGAAGCAGCTGCAGTTCCATGAGCGTCGCGGACAACTCTAAAATTGTGACTCCGACATTATCCATAGAATCTATACTGTCTATACTCGTGTAAATTCGGGTGTACCTTTGAGATTCGACGGGAGGGGCCCTATGGCTACGGTGCGGGAAAGGCTAGAACCGCAACCAAAGGCAACACGACGTCATGCCCAATGGCAAGCCATGGGTCTGGAGTGCTGCAACCGCCAAACCCTGATCTTTGATGAATATATCTAGATATAATATGTATAATTATATGATATATTGTCTGCCTGCCTCTTCTTGAGCTGACTATGTGCACCATCTTGCTATGTTGAGGTGTGTAGTTTACCAATGAGTTTAGGCCCATCCGTCAGATGTTTGTTCAGGTGCTGGCTTTAGCTTGGCAGCAAAGAAAGTTGCGAAGAGGATTGGGGAATGGGGACACTTGACGCAATATTCATAACGCTCCTTGAATGCTGCCTTCTGCGCCTGCCAGGTCAAGGAAGGATTGGGCGTTGCAGGGTTTTCTTGGACTGGTGAGGGTCATACCACTACCAGAACCACGAACCAAGTGTGCGTCTATGTGTGTATACAAAAACCGGTATATTGGCCTGCATACATACATACATAGCTGCATGCACGCATCCATACATGCACACGGGCAAAACTGTATGTACATACATACCTACATACCTACATACATACCTGGACACACACACATACACACATACACACACATACATACATGCATACATGCATACATGCATACACGCATACATGCATACATGCATACAAGCATACATACATACATACATACATACGTTACATTTTGCCTGTTCGAAAGTAGTGAATGAGCGCAACAGTCAACACGTACGCTAGCATCCACATAAGCATACATATTTATCAATAGTGTCTATATATATATATATGTATTATTGATCTATTTGTGCACGTGTCTAAACTGTATAGGACGTTTTGTGTGATTATGATGCACACATGCACATTCTGTCATAGTACATGTGTGGAACATGTCTTTCTACACACATGCATATATATATATATATGTATATATACACACATATTCATCTATATATATATACATGTATATTATATACACCTACACACACACACCGACACATTTGTGTGCATACACGTGTTGTAGAAGCTTGCACCGTAAAACGTGTGGAACACAGCTGCCAAGAGTACTCCGTAATGTCACTTTTGCAGTGCATGCATGCGTTGCGGTGTATTTGTCCGATGCGCAACAACTTAACTGTAGATAATCAAATCTGAAACGCAAGCAAAATTCCATTGCAGCTGAACATAACGATTAGTAGCATATTTCAAGAAACTAAACAATAAAGGCAGACATGTGCAACTACATCAACATACAAGAACTAATGAAAATAATAATTACCGGGCTATCCTCAATAATTGTGGAAGAACTTTACATTTTGGGCTTCAACCCCGCAAGAGAAATGTCTCTTGCGAAGTCGGCAAACAAGTAAGCATGCCTGAAAGGCATAACTCACGCCATTTCTACACCTCTCACCCATGCCTTACAAACACGCCAATGCGCAATCGACAAGAGCATGAAAAGAAGACTGACAACACCACGACCAGGATGAAACGGCATAGCTCGCTGGTTCTTATCTTTCATGGCGATGACAAAGGCTGAAAACAGCGTGCGTCGAAGCTCAAGATGCGAACCCTGAGATGCCACGTAAGACCACGATGTGGCTCCATAAATCTCTATCTCAAAAAGTCCCTCCCAGCATCTACAGCACTTCAGCTACAGCCGATGCGCAGTGCTGAGGCTTAAGACTCAGGGCTTCGGGCAAGACTCGTAGGAAGGCTATGCCGCCCCAAAAGTCTGAGCCTCCCATTCCGGACCGTAGCGTGGGCGCTCGTTCACTCGGTACTGGTCGGTGTCGGAGCAAGCGCTCACGTCCGAGAAGGCCTCAGACTAAGCAGCTGAAGCATGGTGCAAACCCCCATGGCAAATCCTAAACCCAAACACTTGCAAACTCGGGGGGGCGTTATGTCTACAATCGAGGGCAGAGTATATAGGGCATGAGATTTACGGTTCAGATCCGAGGCCTCCAAGGGCTTATCTGGGACCTTGTACACGATATCACCTGGGTTTTATAGGGTTCCTGAAAAAGAGTTCCGTCCATCTGTATGCATACATGCATACGTACGTATGCAGGTTCGTTCGCTCATACATACATACAAAACATACATACACATGTACTTACAGGCGCATGCATAAATCTGCATATGTTTATGTATATACATATATGTATATACATAGGTAGTATGTGCATATACATATGTTGCATGATGTATATATATATGTATATACAATATATATATATATATATATATATATATATATAGATAGATATATATAGATATATAGATATATATATAGATATACAGATATATAGATATATATATATAGATATATATATATATATATATATCCGGGGACGATAGATAAGTGCCTCCGGGTCGAGGTCTCGGGAAAACACTCTCTGGAACCAGTGGTAAGTTCCAGGCGTCGGAGACATCCTTGGCAGAAGGCTTCGGTAGAGCAGTGGGGAGTGGCCAAAGAAAACAATGAGAGAGCCTAAAAGGTTTGGGTGGAGGGCTAGGATTTCTAAACAGCTCCAAAGTGAAATGAATCAGACGTGTTGCAGCGCCGAAGACCCCTGACCCATCGTTGAAGAATCCCAGAACCCCAAACCCTTCCATTAAAACATGCTCAGGCCAAGCTCCGAAATTCCAATCCCGATCGTAAAGTAGCATCATAGCCGGGTGGTTGGAAAAATCCTTTCCACTTTCTACTAATTTTCATGCTAGAACCACTGTTAGCACCCTGCACAAATGGGTTATGGTAGAACCGAAGAACCACAGAGATGGAAGGAGGCTTGCTGGTGAGTGCACACTGCCTCTACAAGGCCGACTACAGAAACCTTTTCGGATGAAACGACGGAAAGCTTAAACAAATGCCGACACTAAACCGTCCTTGACGTTCAGTTTCGATGCTTGACATGGTCTCCCAGCTCACTCTCAGAACCGTGGTACAGCAAGAACAAAGTGTCAACACAGAGACACAGCTGGAATGCAGCGGCGGGATCGTGCAGAAATGCTCCAGAAAGAACTCCGAATGTAGACCCTGTGTAGAATCCACTCCTCCAATAAACACCAACGAAGTTCCCCGGTCTAAGCCTTCGATGAGACATCGTTGTTCTTGAAAGCTGCAGCCTACCCTCTCGGCTCACTAGTTGCTGCTGATATCTTTGTAACTTCGTTGAGAAAGTGCTGCTGATATCTACTGTAAGCCTGAACATATATGACGTGTTTGAATCGCACGGACACTCTTATTGTAGACTTCCGATTACATCTAAACCCTTTTGACATCTGAGCTCTGGATGCCAGAAAATCGCTGATCCCTAGTCCCTAAGCCCAATAACCCTGATCTTCTGTTTGCTACTGGACTCAGGTCTAGCCAGTCTACGACCTGAAATATCTTAACCGAGGTCGACATGCAGCACCGCTACCCCAAAAACCTAATCTTAAACGCTTAAACCTAGTCTTTACCCTAAGCCCTAAAACCCGAAGAAGCACGAGGGAGCCAAGATGCATTGTCATCCCTTCGTGCTTTTGCGATGTCCTTGACACCTCAGCACTGAAGGGAACGGAAGGGGGAGGTCATAGAATATAGGGCTTTAGGATAGGAATGCTGTTTTATTCACTTTCTGATGGAGCTTCAAGGTGTTTGGCCTTTAGATATTACGCTGCCAAGTTTATCGCTGTGGAGGCTTAGAATTTAGATAGCAAGTTCTAGGACCTCAGTGGTTTGGATTTTTTAAGTTCGCGGCTTAGGGCTGAGGGCTCGAATGAAGCATGTCCTACAATGCATCACTACTACTACTCCTACTACTACTACTACTACCACTACTACTACTACTACTACTACTACTACTACTACTACTACTACTACTACTACTACTACTACTACTGCTACGACGAGGACGGCTGCTACTACTACTACTACTACTACTACTACCACTACTCCTGCTACTACTACTGCTACTACTCCTACTACTGCTACTACTGCCGCTGCCACTGCTACTGCTACTGCTGCTGCTGCTACTGCTGCTACTGCTACTTCTGCTACTGTGCTACTGCTACGACTACGACGACTACTGCTGCTACTGCTGCTACTGCTACTACTGCTACTACTACGACTACGATTCCTCTACCCGAGGCTCATCATTCATATAGACACATATATTGGGAACAGCTCGGCAAGCAACCAAGTTCCAGCCATGGCGCGAAAGAGCTCTGTGCTGCTCAGTGCCATGTCTGCCTGGGATCAACCACATTGTAACTTATGCCAGCCTTTGATCTTCCAAGCCCTGATTGATCGTAGCCCTGGGCGGATCTGCAAAAGAAGCTTTACATTTCAGTGCGCGATGAGGAGCACAAAGCCCTGTTAAAGGTTCAGCATGGGAATGAGAAGCGGCCAGTCCCTTGCCAAGTGGGCAGCTGTTGGCAGAGTAGCTTTCTCTGAGCAGGCAGCTTACATGCTCTTGGGGTTTGATATCATGGATTCCCAAAAGGTATTTACGCATCAGCAACCACGTATCGAAACTGTTGGAGAAGGGATTTCATGGTGATGTCCGAAAAGCTTATGGTAAACTACAATCCATGGCTCATTTCCCAGAGGTTTTGACGAATGTTCTCAACCTCTAAGCCAAGCCCTCCGGGCCCCGAAGCACTTCAGAAATTATTGCTTCGTCCCTGGACAGAGTCGCACAAGAGCATAGAAAAATCTGCAGCCTGCAGCTAAGTCTAAGCACAACAGCATAGAAACGCCTGAAGCCTGCATCCAAGTCTAAAACAATGAAAGGGTAGCAATCTGAACCTCTCTTCTTTCCTGTTCTCAGACCCAACTGCGCTACTGTGCTGTTGACCAACTACCCAACACTCAGCACATCATGCCAACTGTCAAGGTTTGTGCTAGGACCGCTAGGAACCACTAAATCCAAATCACCGGCAAGTGGCTGCAATGCACACTAAAGCAGGCGGAGTCCACTAACTAATAATCCAGATCCTACGATGTAGCTACTTCACTACACCCTTGAGCCAAACAAGAGGCCATCGCGTATGATGCTACAACTTTTGATTTTGCCGAACAGGACGTCTACACTTTGACATCGCCGAGCACCTCTTGGAAACTTCAGCCGGCGGACCCGCAAGCGAACAAACGCAGTGACAAACGCCAACGACTCCAACGTCTGTGAAGCTAGCGTGTGAATGGTCAGAAAATGGCTGGGAAGTTCAGCATAATGTAGGAACCTGATTAAGAAACCTTGGCCTTTATTAGGGTCCCTTACAGGAATCCTACTCTTTTGAACGGGGATATAGGCCCCAGGGTTTCTTAATCAGCTTCCTACATTAGCTGGCTTTGGAATCATGACGACCGCTGCCCCGAGGTGCTCTGATCTCACGCATTTCCAAGCGAAAACCTGGCACAACGGTTTGCAAGACACACCTATAGTCTCCATTGTAGTTCCTTTTTGGGGTTACCTTACATGATCCTAATTATATGTTTGGTTAAACCAGAAAAAGGAACTACAATGGAGACTATAGGTACTTACTGGTTCTTAAAGGAGAACGCTGCGCACCCGGCCTAGTTGCAGGCGAACGAAAGAGCGAAGGCCTGGCACTACAGAGCTTCCATCCTCCCCTAAGGGTTCTAGTAGTCCCCTGAGCCATCTTCTCTAGGGCCCTGGCTCCCTAGAGCCCTGGCCTCTAGGGCCCTAGCTCCCTAGAGCCATGGGGACCCAGGGCCCTAGAGGCCTGGGCTCTCGGGAGCCAGGGCCCTTGAGGCCAGGGCTCATGGGTTTTGATACCGAAAAAGGCCCCAAAGTCCTATAATAGGGAGTACTTGGACCCTCTGGGTTCATCATCATCATCATCAACCACCGTGATCAGCCAGAAACAACTACATGTCATAGAACGGGGACGATGCCGGCTCTGTTGGTCTTTAAGCTGTGGCTTTCACGGCGACCACGGGCACAACACCAATAAGAATAATGACGACGACAACAGAAACAGCAACAAGAACGGCACAACAACGACAACCGCACCTGTAACTGTAACGACAACACCAACAACCCCCACCGCCAAGATGCTACAGGTAGTACTACAAGTGTGCATTCTACTACTACTACTACTACTACTACTACTACTACTACTACTACTACTACTACTACTACCACTACCCGCCACCGTGTTTACCGTACCCCTAAAAATTGAAAAACGCAGCTGCCGCTGTGGTGGCGTGCTTATTTCAGTGTATTTTGGAAGTACGCAAATGACAAGGCTGTTTTGCGTTTTGTGTGGGAGGCGTTGCTCGAAAAGGTTTACGCGCGTGTGTTGTGACAACGTGTCTTGCTCCACATCCTTGTGCAGCATGTTGTGCCAAGAGCCCAAAATGCTGTAAATACCAGCGTTTTGGGCATGATCGCCAAAGGCAGTGACATGAACATCAACCTGACCATCTTCATCATCATCTTCATAACCATCATCCTCGCCATGCTCAACATCATCGTTTACCTGATCATCTTCATCATCATCCTCATAGTCATCATCCCTATCATCATCCTCATAATCGTCGTCATCATCAACATAAGGCCGGTGATGCAGTTAACGATGATGTTGAAGATGGCGAGGATGATGGTTCTGATGAAGATGGTCAGGTTAATGTTCAGGTGATTGCCTTTGGCGGTCATGCCCAAAACACTGGTGTTTACAGCATTTTTGGCTTTTTGTACATGCTGCACAAGAATGTGGAGCAAGACACGTTGTTACAAGCATCCTACCACTGCTACTGCTACCGGCGCTACTGTGTTACTGCTTACGGTCAACCATGTCGTTATTATCCCCCCCCCCCCCCCCAGTCCCCAGTAGCCGATTTCACGGGTACGGTAAACACGCCGCTGGCTACTACTACTACTACTACCACCACCGCCACAACCACGACCACCACCACTAGCACCACCACGACCAACACCACCGCCAACACCACGGCCACCACCGCCGGCACCAGTACCACCAACACGGTCATGGCGCGAGACTACCACAACGACGACCGGGAAGAACTACATCTTCTTCCTAACTGATATGCAGACTGCCTTCAAGCCTTTATCTTGCAGAATCAATGCCTCGACGTAGAAAATCGATGAGCCTTTTCCTTGCAGCTGGCTTCTAAAAGCCCACACCCGCACAGAGGCTCATTGAACTGAACTGAAAGGTTGCAATGCAGGACGCCTCGATATGAAGGAAGTGAATGAGCAGATCCCGTAAGCTGGCATGCGGAACCTTCGAGAGAAGCATATCACACCGGAATGGGAGAGCCCTGAACTCTAAACACGAACTGCTGAAAAACCGCAAATCCGGAACTTGCAATACATTAAGAATTTTACGAAGGCTCCCAAACCTCGGACTGACCACAGACCCAAAGCCTGAAAGCAAGGTCACATGCGCTGAGTGCAGAGCTCATTGCCAGCTCGTCCGCTTTGAACTGCTCCACTTTTGAATGAGACCTCACCCCCTCCCTAGGAAAATACAAGCCTTCTCCCCTTCCTTGTTGCTCCTTTTCCAACTTAGACACCTTTTAAATCCCAATACGTTTCCAGGTTCGGCTTAGGATGGTTTTTACGGTACAATGCAGAAGTCCTCTCGCTCTGCCTGGCTGGGCTATGCTGAGTTGGGCGACTGAGTTGTGAGAACTGGTCGTGAAAACCTGGAATCTTGATTTATTTTCGTCTTGAGGGCCTAGGGTTTAAGTTTCGGAGGTAGAGCTTCCCTCTAAGCTGAGCAACCGAGCCGAGAACCAGCGCGTGTTCTGAGGACGCGGCGTGTTTGCTAGGCTTTCCATAAACTCACCTGAGGTATATCTCAAGATTCCCGGATTGGCAACCCCTTCAAGGTCAGTAGTCCGATTAAATCATGATCAAAGGAAGGAGATTATTTTTCAGGGGTCGACATCACGGACTACTGCAAGTCACTAGACGGCGTTGTGTCAAACATAAGGTCAACTTAGGTCAATCTTCCATTTCTAGAGAGATGGGCCGTTTCTGCAACCTTTACAAGCCTGTGCGCGCATCATTCGGTGCAGACAGCCGGACATCCAGTGAATCTATAGTGCTTAGTGCTGTTATGGCACAAAACCTGTCAGCGTCATTCACGTGCAGAAGATAGATGAAAGCCACAGCGGTGCTCTCCGCTGTAGTTGTTCTTTTTTTGGTAAACTGTACTTCCCTCTCTAGTTTTGTAAAACTGGTCGATCGAAGACAAGATCTGGCTCCAAACTCAAGCGGAAGTTTACGGGCTAGACCCTATGGCGCCAATAATTGTCAGTGCCACTCCGTCGAAGCAGCACATCTCAGAGCATGGCGCGACGGCTTGTACTGAAACTCCTCGATGCCAACAACGTGCGTGTCACATCACTGCTTCGGTTCAGGGTTTAGGGCCAGTTTAGGGTACCGTAAGATGTCAAGGGGAGAGACTACATCCATGACATGGGTGATATATACCTGCAGCACCTATGCCACGACACCGAAGACCAACACAAATGATAAAAGAACCAATGTTTCGGGTTTTGGCACGTGAACACAGGCTGAAGCAGAGCCCTTCAGAAGTGCCTTGAAGTGAAAGCGGGCTCGCTGAGGCTGATGCAGCCAAAGCCCACAGGGTGTTGGAGATATCCTCACATAGAAACATGGGGTCAAGAGCAATCCTCGCATTCAAAACGTTGTCGCTCTGGGTCCTGACAAAATACTTGGTTCGTTCCTCAGATGTCTCACGAGAGCAAATCCCAAACACGTCTCCGTGTTCGCACTTCCAACCCACCGCACATTCCGAGTTTTTGTTGTTGTCCAGCGTGGTAGCGCTGGTTCAGTGCAGCAAGATGCGTGGACATAGATATCTGCACGACTGTGATTATGATTTCTGCGGCTGCTACTACCACGCCGACGAAACGAACCTATCGGGACGTAGAGTATTCGGAGGTATTGCCATGATGACGATGTGTTGTTGATGAGAAACGTCCTCATCACTGCTCACAAGTAGACCAATCACTACAAGCACCCTCGCCACCTTTAAACATGTGAGTAAGATGTGCCAATGGTCACGACCGTGGTAAGAGGCTGAGAGTACCGGCACCAAAACCCCAACAATCCTGGATCGACAATCCCAAAACTCGAAATCCACAACCAATGAAGCCCCAAGTGCCTACCTGCGGCTTCCAGCGATGCAGCTGTTCACAGCTCGCTCCCTTGCAGCTTTGACTTC